GCTGAAACTATTGCAAGACAAAAAAACAGATGGGAAGACAAGACCACCAGGATTTTTATCTGGTGGACTTCCTTCATCCTGGAACAGCAATCCTTCAGTGTAGGGTGAACTGCATCTTGCCTCCTCCCAGTAAACAGGTAGGCAAAAACACAGTAAGCATCGCTTCATCTCACAAATCCTAAAACCCCCTGCAAAGTACTTTTCTAATACTTCAAATCTAGTTTTCTACATCTTTTCTTTAGGAGCATAACAAAACATAATCCAGGACATTTTATTACAAGCGTATGTTAAATTAAAATGCTAAATCATAATGAAAATATTTCATACATTACTGTAGCTTAAGATTTGTGCAACAAGTGCCTCATTACTCACATTTTCTCAAGAGAGGCCCTTCATTTAAAAATCAGAACCTGCTGACCTAACTCCTTTCCTGGTGACAAGAAACTGATATGATTTTTTGAAAGGGCCATTAAGGTTTCAGTCTTGGTCAAAATGGGTACATTATCTGTAATAAGAAATATATTCTAATTTAGTGACTACAATGAAGCTGTGTTACCTTCGTAAATAATAACCAGTCCTCCAAAATAACACATTTTCTAGCTTATATAAATAACATGCAGCTGACAAGGAACACTAGAAATGAAATTTCTCTACTGAAGTTATCAGGACAGCCATAGCATCATAAAGCATGTGTTGGGAAGATCTTTATCCTTTATGAATTCAAAATTCTCACTGACAGCTCTTCCTCCAAGTTACTACTTGCAAATAGAGACTTAAGGCTACTTAGCTGATGTCACAACAAAACAAGGGTTAGAAATTACACTGCTGCTTCTTTAAATGTCTAGCTTCCTTTTTTTAGCAATGAAAATTACTGAAAATTAACCACCTTCCAGAGGAAATTCCTAGTGGCTATTCAAATTCAGAAACCATCACAATCCCATTATAAGCAACTGTTTGCCCTAGCCTGGTTCAAGCTGTAAACTTACCACTGAGGTGAAGAGCTGCTGAGACACACCCTTATTGACGGCTCATCTCTTGGTGGTTACCTCCCATGGGGAAAACTGGGGAGGATTGCTGAAACCAGGCTGCTTCCCTAGTGATTTCTCACACCGCACCCACTCAGGGTTGTGAAAGGGTGCTTGTGGGGTATTTAAAGCAGTGCCTGGAGCCACACAGCTGTGGGATATGATGGCCATGGAGAATGCCTTACCTATTGCCCAAAAGGAGGTAAGGCTGTGTAAGTGATTTACAGGTGTTTATAAATTGTTTAAAATTAGGGCCTAATCAGATAGCAAAGTTTTTCTGTTAGAGAAGGTTTTGCTGGATTGTTGTCATATTTTGGGTTTTTAAAACATAATTTCCATAACAAATATAAAAAGTAGGTGTCGAAATAGTCCCCATGCTGCAGAAAATAGTCAGGGACCCCACGTTCACCAGAAATTGTCCTGCAAAAGAGCTACACCTTTAGTTGATAACCTGCAATTAATTGGAAAGGTGGAGTTCCAAGGAATATTACAACCATATATTACAAGCAATATCTTAAAGCTGTTGGTATGATCCAGGAAACTCTTTGATGCAGGTTTTTTTTGTTTGTTTGTTTTTTGGTGTGTTTGTTTCTTTTCCCCAAAGAGCTATAGTAATGTGATGCTTATGTCAACTGGTGTAACGTGACAGAATAAGAAGCTGTGGATCAGAATGAGAAATCTTATATCAATCTTATTACTGTGTGGGCAACTTTTTTGCTTGTTTATTTGTGCCTCTCTTTCAGCTATGTAGACTACAGTATTATTTTTTCTTTTCTCCAATACAACTTCAAATTTCTATGCCAAAGGAAGATGCACTTGAATATTTGCCTACCGATCAATCAACTTACTTGTCTTAGCACTTGAAAGCAGGTGTTGGTGTTTCCATACAACCTTGAAAGACCTCTATTAGTTACCTGTGTGAAAGGGGGTTATTCCCAGAAGCGCTGTAGTCTATGAACTTGATGTGCTGTTCTGCAACAGTGAGAAATGGTGCTGCTGGCCTGAAAGCCTGAGGTAAGGTTTTGGTTTTTTATATTTACTATGTAAAATAAAAGCTAGTAGACCCTTTTTCAGGCTGACACAATAAATCGGAGTAAAAAAAATAGGATTAGAATCTAAATCTTCCAAAGGCTAATCTAACTTTCTAAGCTATTTCTTTTTTATTAAGCTGATCTGTTCCATGTGTCTATTATCTCAAAGGCCTTTTTATAAAAGTACAGAAGTATCAGAATCATAATGGCTTAATAAGTGACCCTCAGAAAAAAAGAAGGCATTTGGATCAAGTAAATTATTTTATGGTGGTCTTGGCTATTTGTGTATTCTGGAAATGTTCCAAAAATCACCTTTTATTAGTAGAAATTATTAATCAAAGACTCAATGACTAGATGCTTTCTTTAAGAAAAAAAAACCCCAAAGCTTCAGTTTTAAGTTGAGTAATTGCTACCAGTCATTCACTCAGCCACAGTAGTACTGGAGAGTAGAGAGACTATGGGTTTTTGCCATGCAGCTTAACAATAGGTTTTTCCAATGTGTTTTTCTACGAGTCAGCATTCTTACCAGCTGCGTTCATAAAATTTCAACTCCAGTCAAAAGACTTCCTACCATGTAATTTATGTCAGATTAATATTATTATGTATATGTACTCATCTTCTGTAAATGGTAGGAATTTTCACCATAAAATGAGGTTTCCTGTGAAAGCCAATATTTTTTTTTATGAATTGTTGGCAGTATTCTTTTATGTTGCATTAAGTACAGACATGCCTGTGTTGCTATTGCATTTGTGCTGTTAAGGTTTCCCCAGCCCCTTGCTATTTGGCTTCTGCATGGGCATGTCTAAATTCTGTGATGCCAGAGCAGGGCAGTGTCTTGGCTCAGACTCAAATCTGTTGAATTTTCTTTAAAAAACCCAACATTTCTCTGCCCAGTTTTCTAGCTTGGTCCAGTCCAGAAAGTATTCTCAGACGATGCATGATCCATAATCATCAGTGAGAACCTTTAAGAATCTGAATGGTTTTTTCCTCCCTAATTTTTGGTGATTGACCTTGTTTTAGATGGCCCTTAATGACCCTGGGCTGTGGAGCAACACATGGCAGTGCGGTAAAGATGGGGGGGACAGGCTCGGTATCTTCCTTCATGGGAAAAACTGAGTAACATCTGTCAGCATCTACTGCTGGGAAAGGTTTCATGGCCTGCCTTGTGGTGTGTGGCTAATTTCCTTCTTCTGAGCCTGAAGCTCAGGCACCACCAAACCACTGTGGTATTTGCATCTCCTTGAATTTTGGCTAAGATCTGAGGATGACTTAGTTGTGCAGCTCCAGTGGTCATAAAAAATATCAAGATGCTTAGACTGTCAGCTTCATTGAACTGCTAGTGCCTCTTGCCTGCACTGTAGGAGACAGTTAGGCTGTTTATTTAAGCTGCCATCTGAAAATATAGTAGCTTGTAGCTGCCTGACCTTGAATGTTTCCAGGGATGGGGCTTCCATCACCTCTCTGAGCAACCCATTTCAGTGTTTCACCACCCTCATTGTAAAGAATTTCATCCTTATATCTAGTCTAAATCTACCCTGCTTCAGTCTAAAACCATTACGCCTTGTCCTGACAGAGCCAGCCCTGCTAAAAAAATTGTCCCCATCTTTCTTATAGGCTCCCTTTGAGTACTGAAAGACTCCAAACTGGTCTGCCTAGGAACATGGGTGCTGATTTGGATCTTGCTGTCAGAGCTGAATCCATGCTGATAGTCAGAGACACACACTATGTTTTAAAAAAAAAAAAGCCACTGGATAGAGAGGAGTGGAAAAAGTAAGACAGCCAGTATGATGCCATTAACAACATCCCCTAGGATTACCAAGCTTTCCTTCAAACAAATTATCTTAGAAAAATCAGTTAAAGTGGTACCACAGTTGTGTGTGTTTGAAGAAAGAGGTACAAATAGTAAAATAAAAAGTCTGTTTTATGAAACAATAAGGAGTTTTATTAAGATATTTTATTATGTGTCTCTGTAAGGAATAGACCAACGACCATATAAAAGCTTACAAAAATGGTTAACCTTCAACACTATAAATGTATTAACGTGACAGAAGTTCACAATTTTGCATCTTTATTGACTTTTACAGAGTGAAGGGAGAAAGTTCTCAATTATGACATGCCAATAACGATCTTTGACTAGAGACATTTACAATTGCTTTAAATCTTATACCTTTTTTTTTAAAGCAAGTCAATAACCCTGACTTGCAGAGTTAGGAGTGAAAAATACATTAGCACCATCATATTAGTCTTTTACACTTCCCTAATTTTAGTGGTCTTGACCAGCAATGACAGGAAAGTAGAGAAGCACCTTTGATAACAGAATACAATCCAACAATAAAATTATGGTGACTACTGACATTAGGGTATGAAACTCTTAAAATATTCTGTACTTTTTTCACAGCTAATCAGTACAGAAACAGACAATTTTGTACCAAATTATTCCACTGAACTGACCAATGGGTCCAATGTGTTTTGACTGATTTGTTTGATTGATTTTTGTTTTGACTCATCAGACACATCCCAGTTTCTGTCCATGTTGAGGTAGTTGAAACAGGGAGGTCTTTCTAGCTTTATGGACTGCATCTTGGAAAGAAGGGTAAACTTTGGTACTGGGAGCAATCAGTGCTTTGTAAATTGGCTAACATTCAACAAATAGAACACAGTGTTGTTTTATTAAGTGTTGAAGTTGTATTATAGCACCACGGAGACATGTTTTGAAGATGGAATTTGGTAAAAAAAATAGAGCAAAAAAGCATTTTTACTGTATTTTGTGTAATAGCGAAAAAAATAACCCTTGATATCAAATTGATTTTTCCCCCAGAAATTTTGTTAATAAATAACTGGGATACAGATGGTCACCTGTACTAGCTGACAAGGCTAAAACAAAGGAGCACAGTTGGAGTGTGAATCTGTTTGCTGGGGTTTCAGAAAGAGCAGGATCTTTGATTTATAAGAAGCAGACTGGGCCAATGTCCACGCCAAATTCCTGATCAGGACCACCAATATCTATGGGCGCAATATCAACCACAGGCAACCTCATTGACTTGCGCGTTCTGTATTCAAAGACTGTTTTACTCCATTCACCGGTGTGTTTCTGTGAAGTTGAAAAGAAAAACAAACAAACAAAACCATGTTAGAGAAATCAGTGTTGGGGCTATTTGAAAGTTACCCCACAGTTTACCAAATTAAAAACCTATTAATGTGTCCTCCTCAACATCATGAAAAGTGGTTGCAGCCTCTGTAGAAATGAACATGTAAACAGACCTTCTTCATTTCTGGACCTTTTTTGTGAAGTCTTGTGGGGTTGTAAGACCTTGCAGCTCAGAAGGGATGGAATCTCTGCTGGACTGTAGAGTACTCTGGACCAGTGCCCTGCCGTAGGACTGAAGTGTGCCCTGCATGCTGGGAGGTGGTATAAATGACTACGCTGTTTGGAAAGTGGTTTTGGCCTCAGGAAAAAGTGACAGCACTAATGAGGTAGCTTCTCATGTTCATGTTAAAGAAATAGCAAAAAAAGTGGCTGCAAAGTAGATGCATTTATGCATCCTTAAAGAGCAGGTCTGCCATATATGTCAGTGTTTATTGTGGTTTTGGGACTTTAAACAGCAGGAGGGAGAAATTGTGGATGGTGTTGTGGTGTTTTGTATTTGTTACTGAAAAGGCTGCAGATGCTCATAGACCAGCATGCTTATTGATGTTCCTGCTCCTCTTCAGTATTTTCTGCTGCAGTGAGCAAGTCCCAGTGAAACAATCTGAGAAGTAACTGTGTTTGCCCCTTCCCATAATCATAGCCCATGGCTTGAATGAGCTAGCCTTGATTTTTTTTTTTGTTTGTTTGACTTAAGATGATTCCTACTACTCTTAGTTTTAGAGTTGACATGAGATGGATCAAACCTTGGTCACTGTGACTTCACTGACTTTGACTCTAAAGCAAGGAGATACCTGTAAAGCACGGATTAAATGGGAGTTCTATAGGAGTGACTCTTCTGGTGTATAGCCTATAAATTTCCCCAATTAGGTGTAATTGTGTCCTTTCCTTACCCAGGTCATGCAAAGTGCTCTCTTCCTTTATTATGGGTCTAATCCTCTAGAGGGAATTACTTATTGAACTACCAAAGTCTTGTTTACTTACAGTACAGCCATCTTCCAGAACAGCATATGTGAATTTGCTGTTTCCTTCAGCCTTGAGCTCACTTTCCATAGAGCTCATCAATTTCAGAGCTTTTTTAACATTTCCACTGGCTTGATCCATGTAGGCAATGCTGTTCTTGCAGTGGTAGGTGATGTTCTGAGAGGCACGGCTGGAAAGGATGCGGAGGAAAGCTAGCTGAACTTCTGAGACATCCTCTGGAAGCTCAGGATCTCCATAGCTGAACTGCAGAGTACAACACAAGCAACAGTGTTTATTTAATCATGTCTAGGGACAGTCCAAATAGTTATTTCACACACTAAATATTTAGCTTAGTTTAATTTTATGATTATTTATTAGTACATTGTGATATACATGAGTACAATATGCATACTACCTTTTGGGCTGTTAACTGTGGTAATTTCTTACCTGGAAGCCTCCATTCATAGATTCTCCAAACCAAACGTGTTTCCTTCCACTGCTTTCGCTGGTCCACCAGTTTTTCTTCGGCACAGTGCTGGGGTTAGCATTGAGGCATGTCTCACCAGTTTCCATATTGCAGTATACTTTAATAGCATCCATCTTGCAGCCTTGGTTAGGATCAATCCAGTACTCCCCTGGAGGTAAAAAAAAAAAAAAAAAAAAAGTAAGGGGATTTAGGGTCTTAATATATTTGGAGAAGCATCTGACTGCATGATGGTGAAGCTTATTTCTATGCCAGATTCCTGAGCCAAATCAGGAAGCATATTAATTTTGACAGGAGAGATGCCACAGAAAAGAAGGTGATATAAAAATATACTGAGTTCATGTGACTACTGTAACATGACTGACATATGAAATAAATATAGAACTTGTCTTTTTTTTTCTGTAAAATTATTTCAACAAGTGTTCACTTATAAGCATGTAAGGAGTGGAGTTGAAGTCAGTGTATATAATATGTAAATGCATAGTAAACTAAAATTTCAAATCATTATTACATTTATCATCTTTATCATGACACTTGTTTAAAAAAAAAATCAATTTTTTCTAGCAGAACTCTGCATTGAAGAACTCAAAGGCAATAGTATTCATGGAAAAAAAAAAAAAATCTGTGATGATTGGTGAAAATAAAAACCTAACATACCACTTTTGAGCTCAGGATGGCAGAACTTCAGATCTCTGCAGTTACGAGCTGGGTTCTTCCGTGACCCATCAGGACTAATGATGTTTTCAATCTGGTTGTTAATTGATTTCATTGAAGATATGATGTCACCCAGATTGATATCATTTTCTTTTGGCTCATCTCGATATTCATACCCATAGCCCACTGGACCTTTTTCACCAACACCAATGGCAGACACACCACCGCAACATGGACCAGGAGGACCAGAAGGACCAGGAAGACCAGGCTGGCCTGGTGGACCCTGAAAAGTAGCGAACACAGTGCTGAGTAGAGATCACAGGTTAAAACTAGAAGTCTGTGTGGGCCCTAATCTTAAAAAGTGAGAATTCTCACATAACCATTTATTTACTTATTAATTAATGGCATTTGCTATGTATAAACATCTATCAGGAAAATAAAGGTCTGGAAAGTCTAAAACTGGAATTTGTTTTCCTAATTTTGTCCAGCTGTGACTGTCCTCCTTCTGTTTGGGCTTTGAGATGGAGAAGGAACCCCTTCCACCAAAATCCAGACAATAACCATTTCTTGGCTTTAGGAGAAGTGACTATGCTAGTGACCTTTGCAGTGCTGGCTTCTTTAGAGGACTCTAGGAAATCTGCTTCATAGCATCCAAAACACAAAGGGAGTCTGTGCACTGAAGTGAAGAGGAGATTCTGCCTTGCCGTTGTACACAGAAAAGTCAATTATTATCCGAGTCTAACACAATGCCCAATGCACCAATAGTTACACTTAACTACAAGTGATTGATTTTTTTTTTTTTGATTTAGCCTTGATAGCTAGACGTGTCCTACCACAAACTCTGTCCATGAAGTACAGAATTTTCTGAGGGAGATATTTAAATGGAAGAGCACCCTATGTTTCATAGATAATCTCTGAAGATTTATTTGAGTGTGCACAATTTACTTACTGCTGGGCCACTTTCACCTCTGTTACCACGAGGTCCAGGAGGACCAATAGGACCTGGATAGCCACTTTTACCATCTTTTCCAGGTGGCCCAGATGGTCCTGGGGGACCCTAGAACAATGTTGAACACAAATAATATGGTCAAAATAGTTTACCAGTTCAGAAACACTTTGTGAGAGATTTCAAACATTTCTATACAATTTATCAGGTGTCTTCCTTCAGCTGTTTCCTCTTAAGACTGCAGTTTAAAAAAAAAAAATTATTATTTTTTTTAAACAGCTGAATCTTCCTTTCAGTTACAGTAAGTAAGGAATTTTTCTTACCCTTGCACCTGAAGCTCCTGGACCTCCAATTGCACCTTGTGGACCTATGGGACCCTATGAAGAAAAGACAAGTCAACCATACACTTCCCAGTAATATTTTGTATCTGTACCTTAGAGACACTGAAACATCTTTAAGATGATACAAGACACATCCTTATAAAAAGCCTATGTCAGATATGACAAAGGATGGTTGCCATTCTTTAACCAGAAAAAAAATATCAAATGTTTTCTATATGAAAAAAATATTAGCAATGCAGTATCATCCAAAATGCAAGAAAGAAAACTAACATCAATGAGATTTGGATGAAATATTGTGTTCATAAGAATACATAGCTATAGGCTCAAAATGCTGCATATTACCATAAAATCATATCTCCAGTAAAGTTATTTAAATACTTTGAGAAATGCTCATGCTTTCAAATGCATTAAAAATTTGCTTTATGGATGCACCACAAAGAACTGAAGCATATGTTAAAAAATTATTATTATCTCACTGTTACAGTGTAAATGAGAATTTATCACTTTTTTTACTCATAAGTGAGACAACAACTTATATTGTGTTGTTAAATAGGTTGGTATTGGTGGCATTTATAGTTAACACTTCCATCTTCTTGCCATCACTGGTAGATTAACTGTGTGAGTTTTGTTTCCTTGATTCTCACTTGTACCATGAGTGCTATTAATAGTTCTTTTCAGTATAAATCCCTCTTAAAATTTTTACTTGTCATAAATACCTAGGGCAGGCTTGTTTATTACCCTTTAATTCTTTTAGCCATTAAGAACTGTTCAAAATGCATGATTACAATTCAGCAGTTTACAAAGTTTACAACTTTGTGCCTATTTTGCCCTAATCTTAATTACTGCAGAAGTTGCATTACAGAAGAGAGGTATATGGACTCTTGAGTAGCTTTTTCATGGATTTAGCTGTCTAGCATAGCTTTCTGATAGAGAAATATTTCAACCTCTATTTCAGTCTTTTACAATTTAATCAGGAATAGCCTATATAAATGAACAACAAAAGTTCAGGCAAGGGCAAGGGCAAGGGCAGACATGTAGCTGAATGGTATTTTAGCAAACCCAGCTTTAGCTCCTAGCAGCTTCTTCCAATTCTTCATTGACACTTATTTCAGGTTGATTCAGGGAATCTGGACTTTTGCGCACAGTTGACAATCAAATTATACAGGTTCTTTATACTTTTGTTCTTTCCTCAGCAAATTAGTTAAGGCTAACTAGTTGCCTGGGGCCCAAACCATGGAAACTAAGAACAGCTGTGATTCCCAATCCAATGAAGAATACTCACAGGAGGACCAGGGAGACCAGGGGTACCAGGAAATCCTCTATGACCTTTTATGCCGGTGCTGCCTCTCTCTCCAGTTTCACCTTTATCACCACGAGGACCTTGAGGACCCTTTAAGAGTAGATATGCAATAAAAGGAATGTATAAAGAAATAAGAAAAATGCCTAAATAACAAGAAATAGTGAATGTGTGATATCACAAATACTTTAAATATGACTTACGGCAGGACCTCGAGCACCAGCAGCACCAGCAGGACCGGCAGGGCCAGGTGGACCCTGTGACACAATAAGATGACATGGATCACTTGGAGTTGATTAGACCAACTTTTTATTTCCAGATAAGCACTATGTTCAAAGCCAGCAGCTGTTCAGAAGCAAGGGGAAGCTCCACACATGCTATTATAATCAGCAAGAATTTTGGTCAATTCCTTTTTCTACCAATGTTAGTCTTACTCAGCTGCTTGTAGGCACTGATACATACAACATGCACTAGACCCCCGTCTTCATTTTTTGAGGTGCTCAGTGCTGGTTGACAGCTGGCTAAACATGAGCCAGCAGCGTGGCCAAGAAGACCAATGGCATCCTGGCTTGTATCAGGAATAGTGTGGCCAGCAGGAGTAGGGAAGTGACTGTGCCCCTGTACTCAGCCCTGGTGAGGCCACACCTCGAATACTGTGTTCAGTTATGGGCCCTCAGTTCAAGAAGGACATTGAGGCACTGGAGCATGTCCAGAAAAGGGCAAAAAAGCTGGTGAGGGATCTGGAGCACAAGTCTGATGAGGAGCAGTTGAGGGAACTGGGATTATTTAGCCTGGAAAAGAGGAGGCTGAGGGGAGACCTTCTCGCTCTCTACAACTCCCTGAAAGGAAGGTGTAGCAAGGTGAGGTGTTGGTTGCTTCTGCGAAGTAACAAGTGATAGGACGAGAGAAAATGGCCTCAACTTGCACCAGGGGAGGTTTGGATTGGATATTAGGAAAAATTTCTTTACTGAAGGAGTGGTCAAGCATTGGAATGGGCTACCCAGAGAGGTGGTGGAATCACCATCCCTAGAAGTGGTCAAAAAACGAGTAGACGTGGCACTTCAGGACATGATTTAGTAGGCATGGTGGTGGTGGGTTGACAGTTGGTGATGATCTTAAAGGTCTTTTCCAACCTTAATGATTCTACGATTCAAGCTGTGCTGATGTCAACACTTCTCAGAAATAACTTGAAGACTTCTAAAGTTACTCCCTTAGTTTAAAGAAATAACATAGTTTGTGCTGCATAAGCACCAGATAGGATGGAAATTAAGACAGGGCCTAGTGGGATAATGTGCTTTTTGACATCCTAAGGAGTACGTGGATTTTGTGTTTAATCCAAATATAGTTATCAGGAACATAAACTGTTATGTCTTTCCCTTTGATATTCTTATAAAAGACATCCTCAATGCCAAGAAACTGTGACAATAACAAATTAGGACTCTTACAAACTTCCGCTTTATTACAGCATGAAATGGACTTTGCATGGGAAAGGTATGTAAATAAGAAGTAAGCTATTTAAATTGGTCTTACCTGAAATCCTCTTTCACCAGGTTTTCCAGGTGCACCGCTGGTACCTGCAGGCCCAGGGTGACCAGGAGCTCCTGGAGGGCCAGGAGAGCCATTTTCACCACGGTCACCCTGAAGATAGATAGTCACAGTTGACAGGATAAGAAATTTAATGTTTTACAGAATTACAATATAAATAGTATATTCAGTGGAGCACAAGAGATCCAAAGAACATGTTAGATAGCACAGAACTATCTACACACATTTACTGTCATCTCTACATAACATTTATTTGGCAATCTAAAGATATTGGTGATTCCTTACCTTGCCTCCTGGGGATCCATCACGTCCAGGCAAGCCATCTGAGCCAGGGTTACCCTGGGGACAGGGAAAAAAAAAAGTGGCACAGTTTGTTCATAAGCTGGATCATAAATAGACAGCTTGTTTTCCAGTAAGCATAAATAGTGCTCATCAAAGAAAGAGAAAATTTTCAAGAAGGAAGAGTTCCTGGAGGTAGAGGGGCCCATCAAAGTTCTATCAGACCCGAGTTATGTTGTAGGCATACAGGCAGCACAGTCTGCAAGACAAGTGAAACAGAGCCATTGTCCAGAGGTAGTAAAAGGTATAACAGGGACAGCAGGCCACACCACCTCACATGGCTACACCACATATAATCTGCCCAGGCCCCTGTGCATCAGGCACTTGAGGGAGGCTTTGTGAATCTTAAGGCATATTTAGTGCCTGAGTCTCCTGCTTGTAACTCACAAGCTAGCAGGAAGGTCTAACACATCCACTCACGTCTCTTCCAGGCTCTCCAGGTAAACCTCTTTGCCCCATAGGACCTTGTGGACCAGGAGAACCACGTTCTCCTGGGACACCATTGGTGCCTGGTTTACCATCTTCACCCTGAACAAAAAGGGAAAGGATTTCATTGCAGATAATATACTTATGAAATACCATCATATTATACAACTTTAAATATGCAGTGATTATGAAGGAGACCTAATAAAGTGAGGGGCCAGTGTCACTTTGGTGATTGTGAATACTCAAAATAAGAAAGATAAAAACTTAGCCAAACTGGTTTCTTTTCATCGTTAGTAATATTCATGTAAGGCCATTGAACCCAAGGAACGTTCTTCATTTTGTCAACCAAGAAATAACAAACGGGTGTCTCTTATGTGGCCCAAAACAAAAGCCAAAGCAGCTAACAAAAAAATGCTGGTCTATCACAATATTAGCGATAACATAAACCAAGCCTCACTTTCTGGAGGGACATGAAAGTATTTTCGTGTTTGGGTGATAATATGTAAGCAAGAAACATATCGAGAATTAAGCAAAGATAAACAACTTGCAGTAGGTGAAGCCCATGCCCTCCTCAAGTGGGTGAAACTGGTTATATACTTCTAGATAATCTGATCCAGGACTCATGGTAACAGAGATTAGACAACCTCACATCCCACAGCTGCTTGTTACTGGACATTTTAGAGCCTGATCTTATGGATGTAAACAAAAATAACTGTACATTCTGTACTTTCTGGACTAAAATTACAATACATTCATTACTTTTTGTAACACAGATCTATTTTTAGCAGATGGATTACAATTGTTTCCTTAGCTTTGGAGCTATTGCTGTACTCTCACCTTGCTACCTGGTGCACCGGCTGGACCGCTTAGGCCACGCGGACCTGGCAAACCTATGTTACCCCGGATACCACTGGCGCCTGGAAGACCTCGTTCTCCTATAGGCCCCTGTTTAGGAAAAGGTCAGAGCAGCCAATACTGAGGATCATCAACATTCAATAGGTGGCTTCTTATTCTTGACAAACATAATCCCTGTCAATTAGTATAATGGTCTCTGACTGGACATGTACTTACCCTTTCTCCTGATGTGCCTGGTAGCCCTCTTTCACCTGGTGGGCCAGGCTCACCTCTTACTCCAGGAGATCCTGGACTGCCAGGGGAACCAGCACTACCGGGAGCTCCAGGGGGCCCATCCTTGCCTGCAGGCCCTGTGTTACCAGGGGGACCTGCACTACCCTAAAAGGAATTTTAAAGAGAAGAGTGTGAACTGTGTTAATCTGAAACAGTAGCACATGCTTACAGGTGTTGATCTTTCCTCATGAAAGCCAACCAGACTTAGTTAATTGCCTGAAGGTGGATTTAGGGTCCATCCTCTATGCCTTCAAATCTGATCTGGTCTTATAAAAAGAATCCTTTTGCCTACCACTTTCAAACCTCTTTCCCCCCCCCCCCCCCCCCTCGACACCCACCCTCACAACAAACACCCCTGCACACTTTGGATGCTCAGTGTTTGCAATACATCCAACACAGGGTACGTGTTCCTTGCCTAGGGCTCTGCCACAGAAATTTGAAATAGTTGCAGACCCCACTGATTTCTTGAATCACTCATGCCAGATACCTTTAAGGTGGTGTCTTGGACATGTGCAGAATGAAATGTTTTTCATTAAAACTCTTATCTTAACCAATCAATGGAAAGAATTACATTGACTTTAATAGTAATTCAAATAAAATCCTACTTTTTCTTTTTATTCAACAATACTCTAATTTGCATCTGTCTATAGCAATAACACAGAAAATAAACAACTATTTATTCAAATATGAAAGATTTCTGACTTTATATGTCAGTTACCATACAACAAAGGATAACATAATTTTGATTTTAAAATGGGTAAATCCATTGTATTTTCTTAATTTTTAAAGAATCAAAAATCAGAATAAGATTTTACTATGTGAGCCAAAAGTAGGTGCATGTTGAACATGCAAGGCTATTATGAAACAGCTTTTCTTCACACACCCTATTGTACAAAATATTGGAATTAGCTGATGCATCAGTATACATTTTTATAATAGGACACTGCAGACTGGTAGATTAAACTTCAGATGTAGGCCATATTATAAGAGACAAAATTTGCTACAAGAATCTTTCCAAACTCCTCTGTCCCAAGATGATTAAATCTTATGCCATTCCATTCTACAGGCAACTAAAAAAAAATTTCAGTAGTGATGTACAAAATGTAGTTTTGAAAATGCATACCAATTCAAGACCTGAATTGACTGTTTCTTGCATCATAAAAGAGCAAGAGAGAAGACAGGATGTCTGTCACCAATAGAAATGCTCAAAGACCTGATGCAGGAGAAGGACTCCACTAACTCTGATGGGCTTTGGAAAGCCAACTGTAATAGAAGGAGTATCAAGACAGTAAGTGAATAGCTATTCCATATGAAATAAGAGGAGTGTAAATTCTCTGTTGCAGAAGTTTTTCCCCAAGTCCAAACATCATATTCAGGATCCTTTTGCTTATATTATATTCATGTCAAGGTACATACAACTTAATATAATTTAATATATTCCTATATGTCCAAATATATCCACAAGGTAAGAATAAAAGAAAAGGGGATATGACAACTTACAGTGTTACCAGGGGGACCAGGTAGACCACGAGCACCAGGGAAACCAGCAGCACCCTATAAGAGATACATACTTACTTTTAGTTGTCATTTTCTGAAGACTGGAAAAACATGAACAAACTGATTTTTATAGAACAGTTGACTATGGATTATATTTAACTGTTTTGCTTAAAACCTAATTAAATGTCCAGGAACTGAAGAAAAAGTTCACTTTTCTCCCCCCACCGCCCCCCCAAGGGAAAGTCCCATATGTTCCTCAAAGGTGAACTAATGGGCTCTAAGAAATTGGCAAAGCTGGCATGTAAATCTAATATCTGTTGAGATAAGCCATTTTATAGCTTTGGGTCATTATGCCAAAAGCTATTTTGGCACCTTACCTATATTAAAAATCAATGTAATCCAGACCACTAAACACCTCAACTTTAATTACTCCTTGTAGAACACTTTAATTATTCTTGAACTGCAGATATTGAAGTCACTGAAGGTCTTGTTTTTCATTTATATCACGTTTGTTGTAATAGATAGAGTCATTTGTCAGTGACTAAGTCGAAGAGATACTCACAGGGCCTCCAGGAGATCCACGTTCTCCTTTTGGTCCTTGGGGACCAAGTAGACCCTACATGGAAGGAAATAGATACAGTGATTTGATAAATAGACTAAAATTATAGGAAGTGTCATTAAGTTTCAGGCAGTTCAGATCCTTGCACTTGGGCCCAGCCACCTTGAGGCTGAGGGAGAACTGAGGAAACCTGTCTTTGTAGCAACAAGGAACAGCAAAAACTTACTGGTGCACCAGGACCACCTTGTGGACCTGGAGGTCCGGGGGGTCCAGCCTCTCCTCTTAGACCAGGTGGGCCTCTCTCTCCTTTCCCACCAGGTTCCCCATTTTGGCCCTGTGGAAAAATTATATTGTTATATTACAACCCCCCAAAAGCAGACATCATTGTGATGAGAAACCCTATCCCGAAACTCTTCTGAAGGGAATTTAAATATTAAATTAAATGTGACTACAGTTGAACTTTATTGGTCCACCAGTACAGGAAGGGTAGGATAAAGAAATGTTGCTCTATGTGTGACTGTGTAGAGAAAGAGTAGCAAATGAATCAAATGTATGTAGCAGGTATGTATATTAAAGGGGTTACAGCAAGCCTTTCTGAGGTGTGGATGAAATTAGTGAAGCTAAAAACCTGATAATCACATTCAATTGCTTTTAAGTATTTATACTTACTGGAGCTCCAGGGAAGCCAGCAGGTCCAGGAAGACCTTGTTCTCCTCGTTCACCCTGTAGAAAACATGTCAGCAATGGGAGATGTTAAAAAGATAGACGTCACTTTACAACTTATAGAACACTCTTGTGAATATTGGTGAAGTTTCTTTGTCTTATCAAACTTTGGAGGAAAAGACCCAAATCCAAACCAACAGTTGCTCCTGAGCAGTAAAGACAACTGTTCAGGAATTGTCCAATAATTGTCTAAAGTACGACAAACTGATCTCTGTTACACATGTATAAACCCTGAGCACAATCAATGGTGTTCCCCTGATCCAACTGAGATCCAAATATGTTGTTTTATCAATCTAAAATATAAGAATAAGAGTATTTTTAAAAGTTAACTGTAAGACAAGGTGGAAACAACTATTGCTCACACTCTTGCCCTGACGTGTCACCGCAGCCCTCTGACCCCTGTACAATGTTAAAAGCACTGATTTTCTGAAGCCCTTAGCACTTGAAAATCCCGAGTCAACAGGAACTGAATGTGCTTAGTTTATTTTGAACTCAAGCCACATGTGTTCCTGATAGGGTAGGTGCAACACTGATGTCTATACTAGGCTAGAGGAACCATGGTAAAGTTATGCTGGAAGAAAATTACTATCACTTACAGGACCACCACGGGAACCCATTGGACCTGGGGCACCTGCTGGACCAGTCTCTCCCTGTAAGGAACAAGAATGATTAATAGGTGTTTTCCTTATTCCCATGAGACAGACACCAGCGTGACTGTTTACAGTATCAAACATCATTATGGAGGATGCTTTACCTTATCTCCAGGTGGGCCGGCAGGACCAGGAGGACCGATGGGACCTACATTACCCTAAAAAATTAGAAAGCAATATATTTTGTATCAAAATATGACAATGTCTGTTTTGATCAATAGCATTTATATTTCAGTGTAAACAGGTTATTAAAAACATTTAAATGGAAACAAGTCTACAATGGCAGCATGTTATTGCACACTACGTTTTGGAGTGACACTCTGAGATGACACCATTTTGTGATGTGAGAGATCTCCAATTGATTTATCCTCTTTTTTCTTTCCACTGTCTAAACCTAATCCAAAATCACCTGAATTTTATTGGTCTCTTTCAAATGGTAGACAATAATATTTATCCATTGCCCTAACTTTTCATACAGATAATTGGTCCATATTTCTTCAGTGTATGTTCAACATCTCTTGACTAGCTTCCTGACTTTTTTATTTCTTAAGAATTTAATGCATGTAGTCATTAGATATATGTAAATACTTCAAGTCTATTTTATAAATATATGTTACATAGATGTATAAATATATCATACATAGTAACTTGTAGAAGTATTCTGTATGAGAATACTTATTATCATGATGTCTTTTTGTGCTTCATTATAACCAGCATTTTCCTGATCAGTCAGCTAGATTTAGACAGCTAGTAACATTTTCTCTACTTTTGTATTGGTGTTTTCCCTCCAAAATGTCATCCCAATTAGTTGTAATCTTCTGCTTGCAAAAAATTCTATTATATCTAGCCAAGCAGATGTAATCACAAAAACTCATATTAAGTCTAATTTAGTTTATGAAACCAGATTTGCACTGCCAGAATGAAATACAATGGGATTACTATTTACGTCTCCTAGATGGTACTTATTCACAGTAAATTTAATCATGTTCTAAGTGTAGACTACATGAAGCTAATTGAGAAACTGTTAGATGTTTAAAGACTACT